TATATAGGGTAATCTTCTGACCCTACCGATTGAAAATTTCCACTCGATTGATTAATTTCCATTGGTTCCGAAAACAGTTTATTTTGCCCAGAGGACTGGCTGTTTCGGCTATTTGTTGACATTTTTGAGCATGCGCTAGCTGAAGTGTCTTTTGCCTGTTTTTGATTATCCTGGAACCTTGAGTTGGTACTGAGTTTATTATTGCCAGGTTTGAAGTGGGTTTGCTGGCCTTTATTAGAATCGTCCGTCTCGGGTATTAGTTGCTCATTAGAATTTTTATTATCATCGCTGAAATTTGACCTATAGTTTGGTTTACTATTTTTATTAGTTTTCCGGAAAGGTCCGTAAATCGTATAATTCTGATGTCTAGCATCCTCGATGATTTTATAGGCCTCACCTAATGTTTCGGGGTTTCTAGCGAAAATCATAGTCTTAGTCGGCTCTGGCAAGTTATCTCTAAATACTCGCAAGGCAATTCTGTTTATTTCGCCTGTGCTGTATGTATCGTCGTTGTGTGTAAGTATACGATTATGCAAGCGATTTGAAACGTCGTTAATTTTATCATAATATTGTTCTATTGAACCGTCTACCCTACACATTTTAAGCATGTCCATTAAGTTATCGCTGCTTTCTTTTTCTCCGAAGTTTTTTAGCAAAATTTCTTTGAGTTTATCCCAATTTTCGATTTTACCGTACCTGTGAATAACTGGTCTTGATATTCCTACACATTTATTTCGTACAAAGCCGAATAAGATTTTTCCCGTTGCATCGTCGAAACCGGCGAGCGTTGGCATAATTGCTTCAATTTGCGAAATAAAGTCTGGCAATTGGTTAACGTCGGTACCATCAAAGTCTTGTACATTTTTCAAGCAGTTCAAAGTTAAATTAAAGGCGTTAATACTAGTAGCATCCATTTTTAACTTAGCTTAACTTAACTTATGTGTAAATTACCCAGACAAGAAAAAGTTTTAATTTATGTTTAGAACCACGGTTTGTCAATTGCTGCTTCGCACCGATCGCCTTGTTCACAGTTTCCAGTCGTAGCGGTAAGAAAAGCTTGTAGTTTACCTTCTCCACGTTCGTCTTAGTTTTCGTTCTTCCTTCTTATCTTGTTCTGCGTGTTACGTAAGGTGCTTTTACCACGTGTGCGCTTTGTATTTAGCGATGTCCAATACTATATTTTTCCCTCTGTTAATGTAAAATATTGTACTGGAACACGCAATTTTAGAATTTATAATTGTCGATATTTGGTAGCTGTAGTTTTATGTTTTAAATCCTCGTCGCCAGTTTAGTGTTGATTGCCAACTTTCTCAGTTGGTACAAAAATGCTCTCATGACACTTGTAATTTGTTGTTTAATTATAATACGCGGGTTTATGTTTATAGTATAATTAATAACTTTATTAATTCTTCAATTAAACATCCGCTCTGAGTCGTGATCAGCTTAAGACTAACTTATGATCTAGGCTTTCGAAGCTGTGAAATTCTGCGAGGTAAAAGCTCACTTATACAGCATGTGTACATACATATAGGATTTCTGTGTGTATGCATGTAAGTATATATGACAATATCAAAAACTTTGGCCAAAGTAAAAAGACACTATTACTGGAAAAGCATGTCTAAAGATATAACTGAGTACGTAAGAAAATGTCAAAAATGCCAGAAATCCAAAATAACTAAACAACAATTACAGACACACCAATAAATGCTTTCGACAGAGTGATAGTGGACACTATCGGTCCACTGTCAAAATCAGAAAATGGCAGTCACTTTAATATGTGATTTAAGTAAGTATTTAGTTGCCATACCTGTTCCGAATAAAAATGCCAATACTGTCGCTAAAGCAATATTTGAATCTTTTATCCTGAAGTACGGTCCAATGAAGACGTTCATTACGGACATGGGAACAGAATATAGAATTCAATTATAGACGATTTGTGCAAATATTTAAATATTGAAAATATTACATCCACAGCACACCACCACCAGACAGTTGGAACAATAGTAGAAGTCATAGAACTTTCAATGAATACATACGATCTTACATATCGGTTGATAAAACTGATTGGGACGTATGGCTTCAATATTTTGTCTTCTGTTTCAACACGACCCCCTCTATGGCACATACTTATTGTCCATATGAGCTAGTATTCGGTAAAACAAGTAATTTGCAAAAGCATTTTAATAGCATAGATAGTGTAGAAGCACTATATAATATAGATGACTACGCTAAGGAGAGTAAGTATAGATTAGAAGTAGCCTATAAAAGAGCTAGAGTTATGTAAGAAGCAAATAAGAATAGAAATAAACTACTATACGATCATAAAGTAAGGCATATAGATATATCAGTAGGTGACAAAGTTTTATTAAAAAACGAGACAGGTCATAAGTTAGATCCTAAATATACAGGTCCGTATATAGTAACGGAAATAGGAGATAGAGATAACATAGAAATAACAAATAATAAACATAAGAAACAAACAGTTCATAAGGATAGATTAAAAATCTTTATTTCATAAATTGCACTTAGTATAGCCATACAAAGACACACATACATAGATAAATAAATACACTGTAACGAACTGTCTCTTCTGCTTCCGCTCGCCACAATTTGCCGCGGCTAGCTCACAGAGTTTCGCGGATCCGTTCCACCGAATTTATAGATTTGACGTGATTGCCCAAGCCTAGAAAGTAATACAAATAGCTTGAAGTTTCCACACTCTTTATTTTGAGACCTCTTTACACTACAAAAGGCTTCCTTTCTCTTTTACTCGTTGCTCCTTCCGTTCCTGCTGGCTCCGTCGTCGGCGCCCTATGCGGGTTGTCCAGGGTACGCCACCGCTACTCCGTCGCCGCCGTTACTCCGTCGCCGATGGTACTCTGCGATTCCGCTACTCTCTGCCCTTTGGCCTTGAGAAAACACCCCCTTGGGTCGACTACGACTGATCTGACGGTTGGCTGCGGTCGGTCGCCTGCGCTACACCGGGACACCGTGCATACGCTCCGGTGCCAGGTTTGGGAGTTTGTTTGCTGACTGCCGCTTTCGCTACACCGGGACACCGTGCATACGCTCCGGCGCCAGGTTTGGAAGTTGCCGTGTGACGTCTCCGCTACATCGGGACACCGTGCATTCGCTCCGGTGCCAGGTTTGGAAGCCGCCGTGTGCCTGATCGTATGTCGCGCTCCCGCTACACCGGGACACCGTGCATACGCGCCGGCGGATTCGAGCTTGTAGTGGCGGGGCTGGTGACCAGGGTGTTCTCACTTGGTCTGTGACTTGGACGCGAGTTCTCAAGTCGGCCGATCCTTGTTTCGCAGGACCACGCCTGTTGGTTGCGATTCTAGGAGTCGGTAAGGCGTACGCCAGACTTATCCTTTCTTCACTTCCTTGCAAGGCTACCTGCCGTGTTTGGGAATGGCTCAACTCGACTCTGACGCCTCGGGCTTGTAGAGGAAACCGTCCAGCAACGGATCCTTGTCTCCCTAGTTCTGTACGTCTCGTGGTTACCGGGCGTGTGATTCCAAGTAGGCCTCCTTGTTTCGCAGGACCACGCCTGTTGGTTATGATTTCAGGAGTCGGTAAGGCATACGCCAGACTTATCCTTTCCTTACTTCCTTGCAAGGCTACCTGCCGTGTTCGGGAGTGGCTCAACTCGGTCTCCCCACCCTGGTTCTGTCTTGTGTCTCGTCCTTTACGTCTCGTGTACACCGGGCGCGCGATCTCGAGTCGGTCTATCCTTGTCTCGCAGGACCACGCCTGTTGGTTATGATTTCAGGAGTCGGTAAGGCATACGCCAGACTTATCCTTTCCTCACTTCCTTGCAAGGCTACCTGCCGTGTTCGGGAATGAACCAACTCGACTACACGACCCTGGGTTTCCGGAGGAAGGTCCAGCAATGGATCCTTTCCTTATTTTCTTAATCGCTCTCCTTGCGCTTGGCTGTCTGACTCTCCAAAGGCGGTCCTTCAACTCAAACAAAACCCGAATCCTTTTTAGAAACGCTCTAACACTTGAATGGCGGTCCTCCAACTGAACGCTACAAGCTTCCTAAAAAGACTCGTCCCGAGCCGCTCCAATGGACCTCCTTTTATACTGACTGGAGCGCCCGTTAATCCTCCTGGATTCTGCTCCTGCCGTTAATCCTGCTTCCAGAATCACGCCAATTTCCCGTTGGCGGGTCGCTGTCCGTGGCCCCTCGTCTCCCCCGGCCACGGATCTCTGCTGCTGGTACGTGGTGCACCGGTGGGCTTCCAGGGCCCGTTGCACTCTTCGTCGCAACCCCCCCCCCCCCCCCCGCCTCTGCTCCTTGCCGCTCACCCCGCCAAGGCACGCCTGCGCATCGGGCTGATTCCCCCACTGGACTACTTTCCCAACGTTGCCCCGTTACGTTTATCCGTTACGTTTTACCCGTTACGCCCCCCCTTTGCCCCCGGCTATCTGTCTTAGCGTGTGGGGGACTAAATCTCCTCACAACACATATTCTTTTAATAATTTCATTTTCTATGATTCTAACAACATAAAACAACAAAAAAATAAAAAAAAAGATGTATTAATTAGAAATTTTTATTATAAAAATAACTTCATTATTATTATTATTATATGGCCATGACAACCCTTTTATCGGGTCTCGGCCTGAAGCGCAATTTGCCTCCACGCGACTCTGTCCTGAGCGCGCCTTCGCCAGTTGGTAACACCAAGTGTGGACAGGGTTTCAGTCACCTGGTCTTGCCAACGCGTTCGGGGTCGTCCTCTCCTTCGTGTCCCAACAATCACCGCATCAAACACCTTACGAGCCGGAGCGTCTTCATCCATACGGGCAACGTGGCCCAGCCAGCGAAGTCTTTGAGATTTCACTCGACTGGCTACGTCAACATCACCGTACAGCTCATACAGCTCGTGGTTGTATCTGATGCGATAAACATCGTCCACGCAGATTGGGCCAAAGATTTAACGAAGAATTTTCCTCTCGAACATTTCAAGAGCAGCTGCATCTGACTGCGTCACTGTCCAGCACTCCGCACCATATAGGAGTACTGGAAGAATGAGCGTCTTGTAGAGTGTGATTTTTGTGCGTCGAGAGAGAGCTCTACTATTAAACTGCCTACTGAGCCCAAAGTAACACCTGTTGGCAAGTGTTATTCTCCGCTTAATCTCCAGACTGACATCATTTGTGCTTGTTATAGCAGTGCCTAGGTAGATAAACTCCTTGAAGGACCCAAAGCTATAGTTTTCTGCAGTCAGCTGAGAATCAAGACGCCGCGATTCTCTGCTAGAGCACACCATAAACTTTGTTGTCTTCATATTCACTGCTAGTCCTACTTTTGCTGATTCCTTTTCAATAGCCCCGAAGGCTCCTGTGACATCACGCTTGGTGCGGCCAATGATATCAATATCATCAGCGTAACCAAGGAGCTGGACACATCTGTTGGTTAATATCGTGCCCGACCGATGTACACCAGCCTTTCTTATAATTCTCTCCATTAAAATATTGAAGAGTATACAAGACAGCGAGTCACCTTGTCTGAGGCCACACTTGGTAATAAAGGTTTCGGATTGGCCACTTCCTACCTTGACAGAGCTGATGGTGTACGGGCGTTATTTATCTTTTCGATTTATCGCTCCATCTTCAGCGAGCTTAGAATCCACCCAGATTTCTGTAATCTTTGCAAAGCTTTTCCTTGTCTGGTCTCTCCCCTAGTAAAATTATTATTATAAGAAGAATCATAGAGCAAGCAAGGCGATCGGAGTAGTGAAGGTCAGAGGGAACCACGCGTGATAAAGGCCGACCCATTTAAATAATTGTAAAACTAATCAACATAAATTAAGCAAGTAAATAAAATGAAGTTCAATGCATAATTGTGTCTAGTCGTTTGGATTTAAAACCCCCGAGCAGAACTGTGCTCAACTATGACATTACGCCCATGAACGGCATTTGTCACAACATTTTTGGTGGCCCATGAGGGGAACAATCCACACACGACTCCACAATCCATAATCATCTCCAACATTTCCATCAAAATCGATAATGGAAACCTAATCTCATCACGGAACCATTATTCTCCTTTTCAACTACTGTATGCTCTTCGACAAAGAAAAAGCGAAAATAACGGAATCAAACTTTGCATCGCACGTGTCGCGCAAACGCTTGCCCATTGTCGCTCTCTCACTTTGGAAGATACGTACGTAAGTGTGAGTGCATACGCAAAATGAGCAAGCCCAAGCCAGCGAGCACTTCCAGTGCAGAGTCTGAAACAATGGCAAAGGGTGGCAACGCCGACAGCTTGTTTGCGCTCCAGAAAGATCTTCACAATCAGCTCAACCAACTCCAAGTTAACTTCAAGAAGGACAGCACGTCTCGGAAAACTAAGCCCTATTTCCAACTGCGCCTTTCCAAACTCAACTTAATAAGCCAGCAATTCAACAAGAATCATCAAGAGTTTGTAAGCGCTGGCTACCCCACACACCCTTACTTCGTGGATAATTTAGCGGACCAGTTCGAAGAGGAATTTATCACAGCGTTCTGTTTAATATCTACGGAGTCCGAAACACTTTTCCCCAGTCAGCTACCAGCGTGCGCCGAGCAACAAGCGACGCCTGTTCCTAAAATGCTCGGCCCTGGTGCGGCAGTCCAACTTCCAAAGTTGCCAGTACCTAACTTTTCCGGAAAGTATACAGATTGGCCAGCTTTCCATGATCTGTTTATGCAACTCATTCACCAGAACCAGGCGTTGTCAAATATTCAGCGATTCCATTTCCTCAAGCAAGCACTGCCTAAAGAGCAGGACCAAGATGTACACCAAATGGAACTAACAGATGGCGCCTACACAATCGCATGGGATCTCATCATCAAACGCTATGATAACCCCCGTTTACAATTCATGCACCACATGAACGCCCTCTACGACTTACCCTTTATCTCAAGGGAAAGCTCATCAGAGATCAAACATATGCTGAACGTAACCAACGTATGCATCAACGAGTTCAATCGTCTCAAAACGAATATCCATTCTAGCACGCAATGGATAGTCCATCATTTGATCGCTAGATTACCAACGACAACTGTACAAGCCTGGGAGCATTGCTTGGGAAACTCCAGCGACATTCCGAGTTTCCTCGACTTGGAAACCTTCCTCAACAATCGCCTCGTCAGCATGAACATCATTGAGAACCGGAAATGTTCACAGCCCACGCACAACTCTACGATCAACAAATCCGCAAATTATCAACGCCAAAATCCCAAGCAAAAGGGTTCCGGCTTCTACAAGGGCAGCACGTTCCACACCACGACTGGAACCAGCGGTTCCATCTCTTGCGTACACTGTAAGGGGCAACACATTTTGCGGCGGTGTCCTGATTTTTTGTCCAAGGATTGCTTTGCCCGCAAACGAATCATTGACCATACAAAGGCATGTCTAAATTGCCTCAGCATCCATCATCCCTTGTCGCAGTGTGGCAGTAACAAGAATTGTTTACAATGTGGACATCGTCACCATACCCTGCTTCACTTCCCCACGACGAATACCAGCCCATCCCCGATCAGTCAGAACGCAGCAAGCGAGAGCTCCGATCTTGCTCATCCTTCCGATTCCACTACAGTGCTGATGGCCACTGCCGCGCAGTCAACTCGATCTATTTTGCTGGCCACAGCTCTAGTACAACTACATAATAACAGCACCGGACAAACTGCCGTTATTCGAGCCTTGATCGATCATGGCTCTGAGGGCACGTTAATCACAGAACGTGCCGCTCAGTTGCTGGGACTTTCACGTCACCGAGTCACAGCACAGATCACCGGGGTCGGTGATAACTCAAAGAACATCTGTAGATTTAGTACAGAGTTCTCCATAAGCTCATGTACGGACCCTCAATTTCACCATCTGGTGCGACCAGCGTATGTCCTCAACTCGATAACCTCTCATTTACCAAGAAGCAATGTCAACGTGGACACTTGTCAGCATCTTCAGGGATTACACTTGGCCGATCCCACCTTTACCAGGCCAGGCCGCATCGACGCGTTATTTGGAGTAGATCTAATACCATATTTGTTGCTGCCAGATTTACGGAAAGGAGCTTCAAATCAACCTATTGCTCAACTCACTCAATTGGGTTGGATCGTGTTTGGCCATAGCAATGAAACAAGGGCAAATGTGGTAACCATTCGTTGCCATCAGACTAATCTGGATGCACTGGTAAAGGGTTTCTTCGATCTCGATCAAATCAGCTCTGAGAGGGCCTTAACGGCAGAAGAACAATGGTGTGAGGATCACTTCCAGCGTACCTGCACCCGACAACCCAATGGAAAATACCTGGTCCGGCTTCCGTTAAAAACTGAATTTGATAAAGAACAAGTCATCGGAAAGTCTCACCAAATCGCACTCAATCGATTCCATCTCTTAGAACGTCGGCTAAACAGAAACGACACACTTAAACAACAATATCACTCCACCATTAAGGAATATTTTGATCTGAAGCAACTCTCCAAAGTCACTACCGCAGAAACTCGACATCAAATGATCACTCCAAGAGGTCAACAGTATTTCTCATCATGTACTCTCCCACACCACGCCGTGATAAAGGAGGACAGTACAACGACCAAAGTTCGGGTGGTGTACGATGCATCATGTACCACTTCGAACGGAAAATCCCTTAACGACATATTGTGCATCGGCCCACCGCTACAAAACGATTTAGGAGGAGTCATCATGAAATGGAGGCTACATCGTTACGTGTTTGCAGCAGATATCCAACGAATGTATCGCTGTATCGACATGCACCAGGAGGATGCTCAATTTCAACGCATCTTATGGAGGAATGATCAAAACGAAATAGCCGAGTACAGCCTAAATACTGTCACCTTTGGGACTGCATCAGCACCGTATACAGCCATACGCGTAATCCGTCAACTCGCTCACGACGAACAACATCGCTACCCCTTAGCAACTCCAGTCTTATTAAATGAAGTATATGTCGACGACGTCCAAACTGGTCACAATACTGTTCATGGAGCATTGGAAATACGAAATCAACTTATTGCTACACTAAAATCGGCTGGAATGGAACTCAGGAAATGGGCATCAAATCATCCACAGATCTTATCCGGAATTCCTGACCAGCACATGGCTCAAAAGAGACATGTAGAAGTAAATTTCCAGGAGACTATTAAAACTCTGGGACTTTATTGGAGCCCACACGAGGATTTATATAGCTTCAAGGTTCGATTTGACCTTCCTGCCTCCTTTACTAAACGTTCCTTTCTTTCAGTAGTCGCTCGCCTCTATGATCCATTAGGGTTTATAGTCCCTGTCACTACTGCTGCCAAGAGTATTCTAAAGGACATCTGGCAGTGGCGACCCGAGACCTCCGACAAAACCCAAACCGCTCTCGATTGGGACGGCCCGTTGCCCCCAATACTTCAAGCCCGATGTGAAGAATTCCGACATCATTTACCAAACATTGAACAGTTGAAAATACCTCGGTGGCTTGGCCACCAGAACGGTGAGCCACAGTCACACCAACTACACGTCTTTTGTGACGGCTCCTCGCAAGCTTACGCAGCCTGTGTTTATCTCCGAATACAATATCCATCCGGGAGAGTGAGCACGGCCCTATTGACAGCACGGAGTCGAGTCACGCCCACGAAGCCGCTAACTATACCTCGAATCGAACTCTCTGGTGCAGTGTTGGCTGCACAACTGGCTAAATGGGTACTGACGCAGTTTTCATCCACCGGAATTCCCATGTCAGTTAATTTCTGGACTGATGCATCAATCGTTCTATATTGGATTAAAGGAAATCCGACCCGTTGGAAGACTTTCGTCTCCAACCGAATTGGCAAGATTTTGGAACTAAGTACTACAACCCAATGGCAGCACGTACCTTCTGGAGAAAACCCAGCCGATTGCGCTTCAAGGGGTCTTACTCCTCACCAACTAGCCAGGCATGACATCTGGTGGTTCGGTCCCGATTGGCTACGGCAGGATGAAAATCGGTGGCCGAAGAACACGTGCTCCCCTCCCCTGACCAACATCACGAAGAAAGAAGACAACCAACCAACATCACAGCACATGTTTGTTCACTGGGCGACTCAATCCTAACCTCTTACTCATCATATAACAAATTGTTATTTGTTATGGCTTACATCCAAAGGTATCTGCATAACTTACGCCACCCACAAGAACTTCGTCATGTGGGCGCGATTCGAGTACCAGAATTACGAGAAGCTCTACATAAAATCGTAAGGATGGTTCAGAAAGAAGCCTTTTCTCAAGAGATCAGCCGAGTCCTGGCACGAAAATCTCTATCCAGGCACAGTGCCCTCAGCGCTCTTTGCCCGTTTTTAGACGACTTTGGAATTCTGCGACTCAAAGGCCGACTGAAGAACGCTCAACAACTGTCTCAAGCACAGAAAAATCCGATCATTATCCCCAAAGTGCATCATTTTACTGACCTCGTAATCAAAAATGCGCACCTGAACACTCTTCATGGAGGCACCGAGCTCACCTTAGCAACTATTCGGCACACATTCTGGATAGTCAATGGGAAACAAGCAGTAAAAAGAATTCTACGACAATGTGTCCAATGCTTCAAACATCGCCCAAAGCCTGCCTCACAGTTAATGGGTGATCTGCCACTACATCGAGTCAACCCACCTGGTCGAGCCTTTGAAGCCACTGGCGTCGACTACACGGGCGCCTTTTACTTGAAAGCATCCAGATTCCGTGGGCATCACACATACAAGGCATATATCGCAGTGTTTATATGTTTAGCAACCAAGGCGATACATCTAGAAGCGGTCACAGGGCTATCTACTCAACACTTCCTTTGGGCTCTTCAACGCTTTATTGGACGTAGAGGTTTGTGCAAGCATCTATACAGCGATGGAGGAACCAATTTCATCGGAGCAGACAATTCTCTTCGCATTTGGCAAAAGGAGTTTCGAAATTCCATCGACACGGACATCGCACCCACTCTTACGGCTCGCGGAATCCAATGGCATTTCAACCCACCGCACAGTCCTAATTTTGGGGGACTGTGGGAGGCGAACGTAAAGGCCGTCAAAACTCATCTGTATCGTTCCTTCAAACTCACTGCTATGACCTATGAAGAACTATCCACGGTGCTCACCCAAATCGAATCATGTTTAAACTCACGTCCACTCTGCCCCTTATCAGCAGATCCAAACGATTTGTCCCCACTTACTCCCGGGCATTTCCTTATAGGAGGACCTTTATTGGCACCTCCGGAACCTTCTCTTTCAGACAAGTCCATCAACGCACGCTTCGTCGACGGTCAACGACTCCTGAGACAATTTTGGCATCGATGGAGCGCCGATTGGCTTTCACATCTACAAGCACGTCCGAAATGGCGCCAAGAACGAACGAATCTGCAAATTGACGATCTAGTTGTAATCAAGGATGACCGGCTCCCTCCAAACGAATGGAAGATGGCTCGAATTATCGATTTACATCCTGGAGAAGATGGACTAGTTCGCGTCGCCTCACTGAAAACCGTTTCTGGAACTTATAAGAGATCCCTGTCCAAGTTATGTCCATTGCCAATATCCACCAATCCTACTCCGAAACCTGAAGAAGTCCAATAACACAATTGAAGCTATATCATGCTGATCCCAGCATTCCGGGGGCGGCATGTACGGGCGTTATTTATCTTTTCGATTTATCGCTCCATCTTCAGCGAGCTTAGAATCCACCCAGATTTCTGTAATCTTTGCAAAGCTTTTCCTTGTCTGGTCTCTCCCCTAGTAAAATTATTATTATAAGAAGAATCATAGAGCAAGCAAGGCGATCGGAGTAGTGAAGGTCAGAGGGAACCACGCGTGATAAAGGCCGACCCATTTAAATAATTGTAAAACTAATCAACATAAATTAAGCAAGTAAATAAAATGAAGTTCAATGCATAATTGTGTCTAGTCGTTTGGATTTAAAACCCCCGAGCAGAACTGTGCTCAACTATGACATTACGCCCATGAACGGCATTTGTCACAACAGATGGTGTTGCTCAATGTCATTCTGCAAAGTCTAGTCAGCTTTGCTGGTATACCAAGCTCAGACATGGCGGCATATAGGCGATCTCGCCGGGGGCTATCTGTAAATTGATTTTTATTTATTGAAGTCGAAAATTTTTATTTTATTGAAGTCGAAAATTTTGAATTATAGTTATAGCTGAATTGTATTTGTTAGTTGTTAGTCTGTAAATTTACTCTTAGATAGCTTAGGGCGGAGCGGGAGCGAAAGCTCATATTCGCTCTTGTGCGAATTCGCCCCGCTTCGCCGCAATAGATAAGTTAGGCTTAAGATTAGAGAAAGATTAGAAAATATAATCGAATTTATAACGTCAAAGAGGCAAGATCATTTTTTCGTTTTCGTTTTCGCCCATTTATTAAATATTACGCAGCCACCTTTCTTTTTTGGTTATTTAAAGTGTGAGATAAACTAATCTCGTTATACATTTTGGCGCCCCCGGGTGGACTTAGTGCAAAATATTTAATAAATAAACAAAAACAAAGTGACAGTGACACTGTGTAATTACACATAAAAACAAAACAAAAAATACCTACAATTTAAAGAGCTGCTCGCGACGCGTCCGTGAAGTGGAAAATAAAAACCAAAAATCACCGCGTCGTGAAACCCTCAAGCCTCCAGGATCATCAGCGCAGGATCTTCGCCAATCATCAAAACCTACCTACATCCATGCCGTGCACCTGCATCGACTGCAACAGGAAAGTGGCAGCGGGATTAAAGGATCCCAAGGCAGAACCCCAGGTATTTGTGCGAAAAATTGAAAGTTGAGAAGAGACAAATTAAATCCTCGTCTTGTGCTGAAATATTGCACCCTCCTTTCAATTCTTTTATTAACAAACTGCCTGTGGCTAAAATTGACAAAAACATACATAAATACATATCCACATCACTGTCGCCCTCCCCTTTACCCCTCGTTCGTTTTCGCCAAACAAAATAGTTAAATTTAGTGCAGCCAAACATTTATTTATATACAAATATATGTACAAATATAATACATATTTACGTGCATAAATAATTTGGCGAACATACAAATATATGCAGCGGTAAAATTTTCGTTTTCGCTCCAACCGCTGTCCGCTGCTATATGTATGTATATGCATTAGTTTGGCGCATTTTATTTTACCGGAACGCCAAGTGACGCGCTACTCTATAATTGTGGGGTATACACCTTTTTCGGTGTCATTGGCAACCAACTATTTTTTTGGATACTCAGTGCCTCGACTATCAACATAATTCGACTATCAAATAATTAATTAATTATTTTATCTTTTTTCGCCATTATTAATTAATTATTTTTCGTTTTCGCTAGATATTAAATTAAATATCTTTTTTCGTTCGTTTTCGTTTTTTGAATTTAATTTATTAATTAAATAATTAAAATTAAAAAATTTTTTATATAAGTCAAAATTTTTATTTTTTTGCTAATTAACAAATAAATTAAAAAATTTGTATTTAAAAATAAAAAAAAATATTTTAAATTTTTTATCGTCGTCTGTTTATTAAAAATAAATAAATTAATTTTAAAATGGGAAGTAATAAACAGAAAGTAAAATCCACGACTCTTGATGAATTAAGAAGAAGATTAAATGTCAGAGTAAAAAGCATTCGCCGGTTAGAGGAACGTTTGGAAGCTGGGTCAGTTCCTTTAGTGAGGTTTTAAATGAGACAATATTTAAGGCAAACGAGTTGCAAGACCAGATCGAGCAATTAGATGAGGAAGATGAATTTGGAGCCGAGTTGGAAGAATTAGAGATAACAACTAAGGCAAGGGTGATGTCTTTATTAAATGCTTTCACGTTAGCTGAAGAGTCCCCACCAGCTACTGCAATTTCTGCAGCCCCAACTCGAGCTCGACTTCCAGTTTGGCATTGCCTAATTTCATGAGTCTCTTTGAGACATTAGTAGACAAGGATGTGAACATTCCTGTTATCGAGAAATTTAACCATTTAATTTCTTGCCTCTCTGGTGAAGCCTTAGGAACTATCAAGGCATTCCAAGTCACCGAGAGTAATTATGACAAAGCTATTGCTAGTCTAAAAAGAGTTTACGATAACAAATGTCTCATCTTTGCGAACCAAATAAGCAAATTATTCAGCCTTCCGAAAGTTTCCCAGCCGTCTGCGTCGTCGTTGAGAGGTCTCATCGACACAGTGTCATCGATCTATGGGTCACTCTTATCCATAGGAGATGACACTAAAATTGCAAACTCAATGATCATTCATTTAGTTTTGAGTAGAGTAGATCCAGTGACCAGAGAAAAATGGGAAGAGTCACTGGATTATGAGGAATTGCCGCTGTGGTCCGATTTCAAAAAAATATTAAACCGTAGGTACCAGCACCTGTCCGCTGAAGAGACTGGCAAGCCAAAGCAGGAGAAAATTGGGTTCGGGAAGCAGCACAATAGGAGTTCGTTGGCTTGCTCCGCTTCCAATAAACAAGCTTGCAGTTATTGCAACGCACAAGACCATAGGCTTGCCCAGTGTAGTCCGTTCGCTCGCCTTGCTGTAATGCAACGGTTTGAGTTTGTCAAGTCAGCCTCATTATGTTTAAATTGTCTGCGAAAAGGTCACACGGTTGCGAAGTGTAAACCAATAGATGTCAAATTTGTGCAAAATCGCACCACAAACTTCTGCACCGATTTACTGTGACCGAAAATAACTTGGCATTACCACCACCAAATGAACATCCTCCTCCAGCGCTACATCTTGATGGCCCTTCTACGTCACATGCTTTGCATGCATCATCTCTAGAAAGGGTTTTGTTAGCGACGTCGATCGTAAGCGTTAGAACTAAAAATGGCGAGCATATATTGGCCCGAGCACTACTTGACTCTGGGTCACAAATGAACTTCATTACTGAAGAACTTGATCAACGCTTACAGATCCGTAGGGAGGAATCGTGTATCAACTTGCTTGGAATTGGTCAAGCTAATTCCCAGGTTAAGAAAAAGGTACACACTGCGGTGAAGTCAACGAATAATGGTAGTGAGTTTCCGTTCGACTTTTGGATTTTGAGAACTATCTCGGGTTATCACCCTGACCAGTCAGTGAACGTGAAAGATTGGGACCTACCAAAAAACTTGCCGCTAGCAGACCCATATTTCTACAAACCTCAGCGGATAGATATGTTAATTGGAGCTGAGTCATTTTTCGAATTGTTGTCCGTGGGCCAAATAAAACAAGGGCCAAACCATCCCATCCTCCAAAAAACTCTCCTTGGATGGATAATATCGGGAAAATATAAGGCAAATACCTCAACTCCTCAACAGCCTGTCTCTAGCCTGAATTGCCAAGAAGAACTACTCGAGTCGATAGATGGCAATTTGAAAAAATTCTGGTCGTTGGAAGAAGTACCAACTTCCAAAAAGCTTTTGTCACCTGAACAAGAGTTATGTGAGGAACATTATCAGAAAAATACAGTTGTGCTACCTTCAGGTCGATTTGAAGTCAGGCTTCCATTCAAATAGGATCCAACCATTTTGGGAAACTCGTTCGAGGTAGCCAAACGCCGTTTTTTGTCGCTCGAGAGAAGATTATCTCGAGATCCGAATTTAAAGAAAATGTATGTGGAATTTATGGAAGAATACGAATCCTTAGGTCATATGTCCCCTACAAGCAATGATGTTCTTGCTACTCCACACTACGTCATACCCCATCAGTGTGTCTTACGGCCTCAAAGCACATCGACCAAATTACGAGTCGTGTTTGATGCGTCTTGTAAGACATCAACACATTAGTGTCTTAACGATCTGTTGATGGTTGGTCCTACCATCCAGGAAGAGTTGTATTCAATTCTTCTTAGGTTCCGGCTGAACAGATTCACTCTGATAGCCGACATAAAAAAGATCTATCGCCAAGTAATGGTAAATGGAGCCGATAGGCGATACCAGTTGATAGTGTGGAGGAAAGACCCATCAGAGTCCTTGAAACTGTCCAAGCTCAACACCGTTACATATGGCACTGCGCCAGCCCCATTCCTGGCCATAAGGTGTTTGAAGAGGTTGAGTGAATCTGTGAAAAATACATTCATACATTCGAGCTGCCGAAGTTATTGGGTCCGACTTTTACGTCGACGACATGTTAACGGGTGCTGGTTGCATTGAGGAGCTAAAGACAATTAAGTCTGAAGTAACTCAGGTTCTTCAAAACGCTGGGTTTGAATTGAGCAAGTGGTTTTCAAACTCGCCTGAAGTTACTGCATCCGAGAGCACGGTTAAGCCAATAACACTTTTGGACTCAGAACTGACTAAAGCATTAGGAATCGCTTGGGTTCCTAAAGAAGATGTATTTAAATTTGAAATTGATGCTTCAGTCATGGGTCAAAGGGCGACCAAGCGGAACATCCTTTCGGTGACGTCGAAGTTGTTTGTCCCCCTTGGCCTATTAAGCCCTATACTTATAAAAGATCCTATTGCAGGAACTTTGGCTAAATAAGCTAGATTGGGATGAGTCAATTCCACTGCACTTAGAAACAGCGTGGAACAAAATACAAGTTGCCCTGTCGCAATTAGAGGACATCTAAATTCCGAGATTCGTGTTTACCGAGCCGATGTCACCGATTCAAATTCATGCCTTTTCTGACGCATCGATGAGAGCCTGTGGAGCCTGCGTCTATATTCGTTGCAAATCTGCAGAAGGTATTAAAGTTTCATTGTTGACGGCAAAGTCCAAAGTAGCGCCGTTCAAGACAAAGACGCTCCCCCGTCTTGAGTTATGTGCCGCTCACCTTCTCGCAGATCTCTGCCGCAAGATAAAGCCTCTAATAAAAGTTCCGATCGAACGAAGTGTATTTTGGTCGGATTCAGAAGTAACTCTTCATTGGATTCGTTCCCATCCATCGTCGTTGTCAACGTTCGTATCGAATAGAGAAGCTGAAATTCAAGAGTGGTCAGAGGATAGCACGTGGCGACATGTACCAACTAAACAGAACCCGGCAGATATAGTGTCCAGAGGTGGAGAAGTAAAGGAGACTGTAGAATCGATCTGGTTTACAGGTCCATCGTTTTTAAAGGAACCGGAAGATAAGTGGCCGACGAGCCCCCGGTTTGATCTGTCACCAGAACTTCTACAGATGGAAGCGAAAAAGAATGCGGTCGGATTAACCGCAATCGTATCTACCTCAGATTTATTGGAAGTGATAGAAGGTTATTCCTCTCACCTAAAACTGCTGCGAGTGTTCGTGTATATGTTCCGCTTTATAAGGAAATCGAAGAAATTAGTAGTGAATTCTGATATTGTTCCCTCACCTGTCGAATATAATGAAGCATTTAAGAAAATAGTCGAAATAGTCAAAGAGCACGAATATCAAGATGAAATAGAAAAGATCCGAAAAAATGTAAGTGTTAGCCCTAGCCTACAAAAGTTAAGGCTAAAGTCAGAGGCTGGGCTTACCTTTTCGTTGTTGCGGGTTGGGGGGCGACTAGCTAATGCTCCTATATCGTACGATGCCAAGTTTCCAGTATTGTTGACAAAACGCTCTCAATTTGTTCAGAGCTACGTCCGATACTTGCACGAGTCGAATTTTCATGTGGGTCCACGAGCACTTGTGAGTCTTTTGCGACAGCGCATATGGATCGTAAATGCGCAGGAAGTCTGCAGTCAGACAGTACGGTCATGCATTCGCTGCTTTAAATGCAAGCCTCGTCTGATGACTCAAATCATGGGTGATTTACCCTTAGATAGAATTCGTGCTCTCCGCCCATTCTCCATATGTGGTGTTGATTTTTGTGGCCCTATAGATACGACATTGAAAATTCGTGGTAGGCCACCCTATAAGTCCTACATTGCCTTATTTGTTTGTTTTGCGTCCAAGGCAGTTCATTTAGAAGTAGTTTCCGACCTTTCAACTGATTCCTTTTTATTGGCTTTTCAAAGGTTCGTTGGGCGCCGAGGATGTCCGCAGATCGTGCACTGCGACAACGCGACGAACTTCGTCGGAGCGAGTCGCCACTTCGCAGACCTTCGTCGGAGAATCGAGGACGAGGTCGACGCGGTCACGCAATACGCATCAAAAAGCGGATGCGTATTTGCGTTCATACCGCCGCGGGCTCCGCACATGGGCGGACTATGGGAGGCAGGTGTGAAGTCTGCAAAACACCTACTCCTACGAGCGGTAGGGAACGCCAGACGGACCGCGGAGGAGCTGCAGACCGTCCTCGTTGGAGTCGAGGCCGTCCTGAACTCACGACCCCTGGGGGCTCTGAGTCAGGACCCAAGCGACGGCGAGGCGCTTACTCCCGGGCACCTGTTGACATGCGGGCCGCTCATCGCCCCACCAGCACCGCGGACCCCGGACCAGCAGGGTCTAACGTGCTTGCGGCGATGGCGGCTTGTCTCGTCAATCAAGCAAACGTTTTGGCAGCGATGGTCCCGGGAGTACGTCTTGGGCCTACAGGCGCGGTCGAAGTGGCAGCACCAGGAGGACGGCATCCGGACGGGCGAGCTGGTCCTGATCGCAGAGGATCACCAGCCGCCACAACAGTGGCTCACGGGACGAGTAGGAGCAACACACTCCGGCGCGGACGGAAGGGTCAGGGTCGCCGTCGTCCGAACTAGCTCTGGAGCGGAATATAGGAGAGCGGTCCACAAGCTGGCGCGGCTGCCAGTTAGTTGAAGCCTGATGGAGGCCTTCAACGGGGCCGGTGTAAATTGATTTGTATTTATTGAAGTCGAAAATTTGTATTTTATTGAAGTCGAAAATTTTGAATTATAGTTATAGCTGAATTGTATTTGTTAGTTGTTAGTCTGTAAATTTACTCTTAGATAGCTTAGGGCGGAGCGGGAGTGAAAGCTCATATTCGCTCTTGTGCGAATTCGCCCCGCTTCGCCGCAATAGATAAGTTAGGCTTAAGATTAGAGAAAGATTAGAAAATATAATCGAATTTATAACGTCAAAGAGGCAAGATCATTTTTTCGTTTTCGTTTTCGCCCATTTATTAAATATTACGCAGCCACCTTTCTTTTTTTATTTTTTGGTTATTTAAAGTGTGAGATAAACTAATCTCGTTATACATGCGGCTTTGTAGTCGACGAAGAGATGGTACGTGTCGATCTGGTTTTCGTAAGACTTCTCCAGGATTTGGCGCAAGGTGAAAATCTGGTCAACAGTGGACTTGCCAGGCCTGAACCCGCACTGATAAGGTCCAATCAGTGCTTCAGCATGGGGTTTCAGTCTTTCACACAATACGCTCGTTAGGACCTTGTATGCAACTGGAAGAAGACTAATTCCGCGGTAGTTGGTGCGCACCGTAGCATCACCCTTCTTCAGGATGGGACAGATCATGCTTAGGTTCCAATCTTCGGGCATGCTCTTCATGAGCATGATCTAATCTTACTGATTAGTTTGTGCATGCACCCTACCAGCATATTACCGGCTGCTTTAAGCAATTCTGCCGGCAGGCCGTCAGCACCTGCAGACTTGTTGTTTTTAAGCCGTTGGATTGCATCCTTGACTTCGATATGACTTGGGATTGGCACTTCAATATCAGTGCCATAGATTGGGGTTCGTGGATCATAGTCTTCAGAGTCTGTGCTTGATCCAGATAACAAACTCGAGAAGTGATCCCTCCATAACCTCAGCACGACCTCTGTTTCTGTGACAAGATTTCCATCATTGTCCCTGCACGCCACTGTACCAGTCTTAAATCCTTGGGTCAGACGCTTGACCCTCTGGTAGAAGTTACGTGCTTCATTTCTGCATCTGCTGCTCTCTGTGCTCTCACACTCTCGCCTTTCCTGGTCTTTCTTCTTGCGTCTGAAAAGGCGTTTCTCGTCTCTTCTTCTCGACCTGTAGACATCCACAATCGCTCGTGTCGCCCCAGCCTGCAGTGTTCTTCCGTAGGCGGCATCCTTTGCAGCTGTTGCGTCATGACACTCCTGATCGTACCATGGATTCCTTGATAGAGGACGCTGGAATCCAAGCACTTCTTCTGCCGAAGCTCGCAGGGAGTGAGATATGAGCGCCCACATATCGCTTATGTCTTCAGGTATTGAAGGTGCTCGGCTTAATAGCCCCGAGACGTGAGTGGAGAATGCATTCTTCGCCTGTTGTGATTGCAGCTTTCCGATGTCCAGCCTTCTTAACGCACTTCGACGTGCAATCTTCGCCACACATAGCCGTGTGCGAATCTTAGCTGCAACAAGATAATGGTCGGAGTCGATGTTGGGACCCCGACAGGATCGCACGTCGAGTATATTAGATGCGTGCCTTGCATCGATCACAACATGATCGATCTGATTTCTGGTCAGTCGATCGGGAGAGAGCCAAGATGCTTTATGGATGTCCAAATGGTGGAATCCAGTACTACGAACTACCATATTATGCGCAGCTGCAAAGCCTATTAATCTGAGACTATTGCTAGAGGTGGTCTCATGTAGACTAAATCGCCCGACGGTGGCACCAAAGATGTCTTCTCGTCCTACCTTGGCATTAAAATCCCCGAGGAGAATTTTAATGTCATGGGAAAAACAGCGGCCATAAGCTCGGTCGAGCTCCGCATAGAAAGCGTCCTTGGTGGCATCATCCTTTTCCTTCGTTGGGGCATGTGCGCATATCAGGCTGATGTTAAAGAATTTGGCAGTAATTCGGATCGTTGCAATTCTCTCGTTTGTTGGCCGAAAGTGAGAGACTCGGCGCCGCAGCCTGGCACCTACAACGAAACCACAACCAAATTCATGCCGTTCTGGATGGCAGCTGTAGTAAATGTCACAGTTCTTCTTCTTTATGCAGCCTTGTCCTATCCATCGCATTTCCTGGATAGCAGTGATGTCAGCCCTACATTTGTTGAGGGTATCTGCTAGTTGTTGAGCAGCACCAGGTCTGTACAATGTTCGTACGTTCCAGGTGCATACTCTCAAATCATTGTCCTTTTTACGCTTGCTATGGTCGTCAACGTTAGATCGGTTCCTTTCCGAGGCTTCTCTTGCTTCCTTCACTGAAATTGTGTTTTACATGGGTGGATTTCAAGTCCTACGCCACAACCTAGTTTGTAGAGTTAGGACTCTCGTCGCGCGCTTTAGTTTGCCACACAACGGCTGTCGAGCGACAATCCGTGGAGGTAGTGCGTCGGCTTGAAGAAAGCAGTGACAGGAATCATGCTGGCATTCACCAAGTTGAATGCAATCAGACACTTTGACCTGTATGCTTTCCCCCATTCTCCCAACTTTATTATATTACGTTATTTTTCAAAAGAAGGGAGATGTAGTATGCACATATATTGAATACCCACTGTACCGAGAGTACTTAAAGGGTGCGCACTGTAACACTTTGTTGCAGTGTTTACATAATCAAAAGTCCCGGTCATAAACCCTAAGTGGCCGAAATATGAGCCGATCGTTATGGCTTAGCCCGCATACAGAAAGTGCTAGTGTCAGCATAATCGTAACAAACGGTCAGCATATGCATACCCCTCGCACCTCCACTTGAGAGCGCATAACAACGTATATTATTATTTTTCTTTATACATAAGTACATAGCCGTGTCTTTGCCGCCGCCTGCGAGCAGCGCTGCTACGAGACTTAGCCTTACTTAGACTTAAGAAATATTGTAAAAGAACAGAGACATTTTGATCGTTGGAGCGGCACCTCAGCTGCTCCTTCCAAATAAAAAACCAACCAAACTTAACCCTTGGAGACATCCTATCACACTACCCATATTTTAATGACTTAGACATGAGGTTTCCTTTTAGGTTCTCATTTTTCAAGGTTTCGACACTTCTCCTGATCCTATGCTGCCCCCATCACGCACACGTCCCGGGAGCTGCAGAAACTTCTCGCCGAACGCGGCTCTAGCCTGATCCGGTTCCGTGCACGTTTAGGAGCTGATCGAGGTATGTTCGTTTGGCTTAATTGTTTCGTTTTAATTGTTTGGCTGATTCCCCTGCCGAGACGTGATGTGCCAGGCCGATCCCCCTTCCGAGACTTAGAGTGCCCGGATCATCCCCGGCCGACCCGCCTTCCCAGGCCTGAGGTGCCCGTGACGTAATCCTCCTGCCGAGAGGTGAAGGGCCGGCCAGATCCCCCTGCTGAGACGTGGAGTGCTCGGCTGATCCCCTGCCGAGACGTGATGTGCCAGGCCGATCCCCCTGCCGAGACTTAGAGTGCCCGTCTCATCCCCGGCTGACCCCCTTCCCAGGCCTGAGGTGCCCGTGACGTGATCCTCCTGCTGAGAGGTGAAGGGCCTGCCAGATTCCCCTGCCGAGACGTGGAGCGCTCGGCTGACCCCCCTGCCGAAACGAGAAGTACCAGGCCGATCCTCCTGCCACCACGTAGAGTGCCCGGCTCATCCCTGGCCGACCCTCTCCCCAGGCATCGGGTGCCTGGCCTAGACGTGATCCTTCTGCCGAGAAGCGAAGGGTCTGCCAGATCCCCCCTGCCACCACGTAGAGTGCCCGGCTCATCCCTGGCCGAACCCCTCCCCAGGCATGAGGTGCCCGGCCTAGACGTAATCCTCCTGCCGAGAGGTGAAGGGCCGGCCAGATCCCCCTGCCGAGACGTGGAGTGCTCGGCTGATCCCCCTGCCGAGACGTGATGTGCCAGGCCGATCCCCCTGCCGAGACTTAGAGTGCCCGTCTCATCCCCGGCTTACCCCCTTCCCAGGCCTGAGGTGCCCGTGACGTGATCCTCCTGCTGAGAAGTGAAGGGCCTGCCAGATTCCCCTGCCGAGACGTGGAGCGCTCGGCTGACCCCCATGCCGAAACGAGAAGTACCAGGCCGATCCTCCTGCCACCACGTAGAGTGCCCGGCTCATCCCTGGCCGACCCCCTCCCCAGGCATGGGGTGCCCGGGGCCTAGACGTGATCCTTCTGCCGAGAAGCGAGGGGTCTGCCAGATCCCCCCTGCCACCACGTAGATTGCCCGGCTCATCCCTAGCCGACCCCCTCCCCAGGCATGAGGTGCCCGGCCTAGACGTAATCCTCCTGCCGAGAGGTGAAGGGCCAGCCAGATCCCCCTGCCGAGACGTGGAGTGCTCGGCTGATCACCTGCCGAGACGTGATGTGCCAGGCCGATCCCCCTGCCGAGACTTAGAGTGCCCGTCTCATCCCCGGCTTACCCCCTTCCCAGGCCTGAGGTGCCCGTGACGTGATCCTCCTGCTGAGAAGTGAAGGGCCTGCCAGATTCCCCTGCCGAGACGTGGAGCGCTCGGCTGACCCCCTGCCGAAACGAGAAGTACCAGGCCGATCCTCCTGCCACCACGTAGAGTGCCCGGCTCATCCCTGGCCGACCCCCTCCCCAGGCATCGGGTGCCCGGCCTAGACGTGATCCTTCTGCCGAGAAGCGAAGGGTCTGCCAGATCCCCCTGCCACCACGTAGAGTGCCCGGCTCATCCCTGGCCGAACCCCTCCCCAGGCATGAGGTGCCCGGCCTAGACGTAATCCTCCTGCCGAGAGGTGAAGGGGCCGACCAGATCCCCCTGCCGAGACGTGGAGTGCTCGGCTGATCCCCCTGCCGAGACGTGATGTGCCAGGCCGATCCCCCTGCCGAGACTTAGAGTGCCCGTCTCATCCCCGGCTTACCCCCTTCCCAGGCCTGAGGTGCCCGTGACGTGATCCTCCTGCTGAGAAGTGAAGGGCCTGCCAGATTCCCCTGCCGAGACGTGGAGCGCTCGGCTGACCCCCTGCCGAAACGAGAAGTACCAGGCCGATCCTCCTGCCACCACGTAGAGTGCCCGGCTCATCCCTGGCCGACCCCCTCCCCAGGCATGGGGTGCCCGGGGCCTAGACGTGATCCTTCTGCCGAGAAGCGAGGGGTCTGCCAGATCCCCCCTGCCACCACGTAGAGTGCCCGGCTCATCCCTAGCCGACCCCCTCCCCAGGCATGAGGTGCCCGGCCTAGACGTAATCCTCCTGCCGAGAGGTGAAGGGCCAGCCAGATCCCCCTGCCGAGACGTGGAGTGCTCGGCTGATCCCCTGCCGAGACGTGATGTGCCAGGCCGATCCCCCTGCCGAGACTTAGAGTGCCCGTCTCATCCCCGGCTGACCCCCTTCCCAGGCCTGAGGTGCCCGTGACGTGATCCTCCTGCTGAGAAGTGAAGGGCCTGCCAGATTCCCCTGCCGAGACGTGGAGCGCTCGGCTGACCCCCATGCCGAAACGAGAAGTACCAGGCCGATCCTCCTGCCACCACGTAGAGTGCCCGGCTCATCCCTGGCCGACCCCCTCCCCAGGCATGGGGTGCCCGGGGCCTAGACGTGATCCTTCTGCCGAGAAGCGAGGGGTCTGCCAGATCCCCCCTGCCACCACGTAGATTGCCCGGCTCATCCCTAGCCGACCCCCTCCCCAGGCATGAGGTGCCCGGCCTAGACGTAATCCTCCTGCCGAGAGGTGAAGGGCCAGCCAGATCCCCCTGCCGAGACGTGGAGTGCTCGGCTGATCACCTGCCGAGACGTGATGTGCCAGGCCGATCCCCCTGCCGAGACTTAGAGTGCCCGTCTCATCCCCGGCTTACCCCCTTCCCAGGCCTGAGGTGCCCGTGACGTGATCCTCCTGCTGAGAAGTGAAGGGCCTGCCAGATTCCCCTGCCGAGACGTGGAGCGCTCGGCTGACCCCCCTGCCGAAACGAGAAGTACCAGGCCGATCCTCCTGCCACCACGTAGAGTGCCCGGCTCATCCCTGGCCGACCCCCTCCCCAGGCATCGGGTGCCCGGCCTAGACGTGATCCTTCTGCCGAGAAGCGAAGGGTCTGCCAGATCCCCCCTGCCACCACGTAGAGTGCCCGGCTCATCCCTGGCCGAACCCCTCCCCAGGCATGAGGTGCCCGGCCTAGACGTAATCCTCCTGCCGAGAGGTGAAGGGCCGACCAGATCCCCCTGCCGAGACGTGGAGTGCTCGGCTGATCCCCCTGCCGAGACGTGATGTGCCAGGCCGATCCCCCTGCCGAGACTTAGAGTGCCCGTCTCATCCCCGGCTTACCCCCTTCCCAGGCCTGAGGTGCCCGTGACGTGATCCTCCTGCTGAGAAGTGAAGGGCCTGCCAGATTCCCCTGCCGAGACGTGGAGCGCTCGGCTGACCCCCTTGCCGAAACGAGAAGTACCAGGCCGATCCTCCTGCCACCACGTAGAGGGCCCGGCTCATCCCTGGCCGACCCCTCCCCAGGCATGGGGTGCCCGGGGCCTAGACGTGATCCTTCTGCCGAGAAGCGAGGGGTCTGCCAGATCCCCCCTGCCACCACGTAGAGTGCCCGGCTCATCCCTAGCCGACCCCCTCCCCAGGCATGAGGTGCCCGGCCTAGACGTAATCCTCCTGCCGAGAGGTGAAGGGCCAGCCAGATCCCCCCTGCCGAGACGTGGAGTGCTCGGCTGATCCCCTGCCGAGACGTGATGTGCCAGGCCGATCCCCCTGCCGAGACTTAGAGTGCCCGTCTCATCCCCGGCTGACCCCCTTCCCAGGCCTGAGGTGCCCGTGACGTGATCCTCCTGCTGAGAAGTGAAGGGCCTGCCAGATTCCCCTGCCGAGACGTGGAGCGCTCGGCTGACCCCCTTGCCGAAACGAGAAGTACCAGGCCGATCCTCCTGCCACCACGTAGAGTGCCCGGCTCATCCCTGGCCGACCCCCTCCCCAGGCATGAGGTGCCCGGGGCCTAGACGTGATCCTTCTGCCGAGAAGCGAGGGGTCTGCCAGATCCCCCCCGCCAGGACGTGGAGTGCTCGGCTGATCCCCCTGCCGAGTCGTAATGTGCCAGGCTGATTCCCCTGCCGGGACGTAGAGTGGCCGGCTCATCCCCGGCCGATCCCCTCCCCAGGTCTGAGGTCCCGGCTTATCCTCATGGTGAGACGAAAAGGGCCTTAATCCATCTGCCCAGACGTTGAGTGCCCGGCAGATCCTCGTGCCAAGACGTAAAAGGCCTGCCCGATCCCCCTTCAGAGACGTGGAGCGCCCAGCTTATCTTCTTACCGTGACGCGGAGCACCTGGAGATCGAGACTTGGAGATCCCCGTGCCGAGAAGCGAAGGGCCTGCAAAATTTCTCACCCAAGACGTGAAGTGCTCGGCTGATCTCCCTGCCGAAACGTGAAGTACCTGGCCGATCGCCCTGCTGAGACGTATGGTGCCTGGGTCATCCCTGGCCGATCCCCCTCTTGAGGTGCCCGGCTGATTCTCCTGCCAAGACTTAGAGTGCCCGGCTGATCACCGTGCCGAGAAGTGAAGGGCCTGCCAGATCCCCCTGCCGAGACGTGATGTGCCAGGCCGATACCCCTGCCGAGACGTGGAAATCCCCGTGCCGAGAAGTGGAGTGCCGGCTGATTCCCGTGCCGAGAAGTGAAGGGCCTGCAAAATTTCTCACCCAAGACGTGGAGCGCTCGGCTGACCCCCCTGCCGAAACGAGAAGTACCAGGCCGATCCTCCTGCCACCACATAGAGTGCCCGGCTCATCCCCGGCCGATCCTCTTCCGCAGACCTGAGGTGCCCGGCTGATCCTCCTGGCTGACACGTGAAGTGCCTGGCTGATCCCCGTGTCGTCAGGTGAAGGGCCTGCGGATCACTCTGCCACGACGTAGAGTGCCCGGCTCATCCCTGGCCGATTCCCCTACCCAGGCCTGAGGTGCCCGGCTGATTCTCCTGTAGAGACGTGGAGTGCCCGGTTAATCCTTGTGCCGAGAAGTAAAGGTCCTGCCGGATCCCCCCGCTGAGACGTTAAGTGCTGGGTGATCACCGTGCCGAAAAGTGAAAGACCTGCCAGGTCCCCCTGCCGAGACGGTGGGTGCTCGGCTGATCCTTCTGTCGAGTAGTGATGTGCCATGCCGATTCCCCTACCGAGACGTAGAGTACCTGGCTCATTCCCGAACGATCCCCCACCCAGGCCTGAGGAGCCCGGCCGAGACGTGGTCCTCCTGCTGAGACCTAAAGGGCCTGCTCGATCCATCTGCCGAGAGGTTTAGTGGCAGGCTTATCCCCCTGACGAGAGGTGGAGTGCCCTGCCCATCCCAGGCCAATCCCTCTTCCTAGGCCTGAGGTGCCCGGCTGATTCTCCTGCCGAGACGTGAAGGACCTGCCCGATGCATCTGCCCAGACGTGGAGTGCCCGGCAGATCCCCGTTCCAAGACGTTAAGGGCCTGGCTGATCCCCCTGGCGAGACGTGGAGTGCCCGGCTGAATACCGTGCCGAGAAGTGAAGGGCCTGCCAGATCCTCTGCCAAGACGTGAAGTGCTTGAAAGATCCCCCTACCGAAACGTGAAGTACCAGGCCGAACCCCCTGCCGAGATATGGAGTGCCAGGCTGATCCCCCTGCCGAGAGGAGAAGTGCCCTGCTCATCCCTGGCCAATCCTCCTCCTCAGGCCTGAGGTGGCCGGCTGATTCTCTTGCCGAGCCTAAAGGGCCTGTCCGATCCATCTGCCGAGACGTGTAGTGCCAGGCTTATTCCGCAGCCGAGAGGTGGACTGCCCTGCTTATCCAAGGCCGATCCCCCTCCCTACGCTTGAGGTGCCCGGCTGATTCTCCTGCCGAGACGTGAAGGGGCTGCCCGATCCATCTGCCGAGACGTGGAGTGCCCGGCAGATCCCCGTTCCAAGACGTGAAGTGTTTGGCCGATCCGGAGTTGGGGAGTGCCCGGCTGAAACCCGTGCCGAGACGTAAATGGCCTGGCCGATCCCCCTTCCGAGACGTGGAGTGCCCGGCTTATCTCCGGCCACCCCCTCCCTAGGCTGAGGTACCCGGACTAGACGTTATCCTCCTGCCGAGAAGTGAAGGGCCTGCCAGATCCCCCTGCCAAATGATTGTAAGGTTATAATTAAAACTACCCTATATGGTTATAGTAAAGTAACTCCACACCCAACACATCAATATCTCGCTACATGGCGACCGTGACAGCGGTCTTGTAATACCAAGGACAGGAGTAACATCAACAACAACAGCGACATCGGCAAAGGAAGCTGGACAACAGAAATTGAGTAATGTTGAGTAATGAGCAAGCAGCGCGGGGGTATAAACCACAAAATAAATAAAAGAATAGCCAAACTAAAGTGGCTAATATAAACAATCGCCATCGCTTGCATGGTCTACAGCCCAGAAGTTACAAACTGAGCTCGACCATCTTATAGAGACCCTACGGGTTAAAAATGAAGCCTCTCACTCTAACTCGCGAGATAATAATAATCAAATAAAGAACTTGTTAAAACTAAAACCTATCTAGATACCAGCAGTACTGCCGAAACTAAAGAAGAGATGTCCTTTAGACTTCGAGGGACCGCTATTTTCACCACATTGCGCTGCGACATGCAATCAGAAGAAGCAATAGCCTGTGTCAACCCAGCACCGGCAACGCCACGCACATCAAGCTGGCCAAAGAACCGACAGTGCCACAGAGTGCACAGAAGCTGGCCACACTACAAAGAGTGCAGGAAACATCAAATGTTTAATATAGAATTTAAATAGAATATTAATAATATAAAACGAAAAAAAAACGAATAAAAATTATCAATTAAAATGTAGGTTACGAATAACAACAGCATAAGTAAATATCCAGGCTCTCTCCAGCTTCCATTCTTGGACCTCCTTGCTCGCCTGAGTTTCAGGTTCCACGGTCTGCCCTAGTGTCCTGGCTTCCGCCCTCGTTCGAGTCGCCGCCTGCGCAGTCTCCCTCTTGCTCCTCTTGTTGTTGGGGGGGTCTGGGCCTGTTCCCTTCCTCCTGGGTTCCGCTAACGGTCGAAAAAGGGGCGATGTTTGTGACGCCTGGTGTGATTTA